GCAATAGAACTACCAACGATACATGACCTCACACTGTCTCAGGTTAGTGATACACGACACATCCCGACACCAGCCAGCCACAAGCCCTGTATCACACAACCAGTAGCCCAGAAGCAAAGCCATAACACATCATAAATGTACTCGTTTGTTCGTTCGTAGCGAAAACGCGCGGTTACCCAAAGTAAATCTGTGTTGTTGTACATTACAAAAAGGACATTGCGACAGCCGAGTTGTAACGTGCGCTTATCCTATAAAGTTTCACAGAAGATTAGGACAGCGACTGTAACATACACATAACTTCCAAAGTTGCGTTGTGCAACAATTTGTTTTATAATCCTCTTCTTACAGTGTTCTATATTATGTTCGTCCCACGATCCCCTCGTTACGTTTTTCTATACGTTGTCCAACAATCTGTATTTGAGACACCTTACATGTCGCCATGAATGCTTTCTATACTTGATAAACAATAACCGCCTCAGACATCAGATAGGCGAAAGCTCTTTTTTTCTCGTGGGGTACATGCGTACATAATCTAAATCAAAGGCCTAAAGCTTACCAACTGCATAGTCTCAATGCTTCCAGACAGGAAAACGTTACAAATCTCGGCTGTCGGACAAATTCTACACAATAAACAGGTGCCCAACAAGTCTTCATCGCTGCAAACGACTACAAACCCCCTCCCCCACGCCTTCTCCTAACTGGCAGCTATGACTGTCATACATGTTGTATAATATATAGATCTACACACGCAATGCTATGATTTATTGTGGCGTCATGCCAAGGCGAGTAACTATAAATGCGCGTATAGTTTGCTCACTCTCCGTCACACGGAGTCCCGCATGTCGCCATATGACGTCACACTTCCGGCGTCCGAGCCCGAGGACAGAGAGGGTATTGGCGAAAACATCTGAAACACGTCACATACAGACACTACATTTGTGGACATCTGAAACACGTCACATACAGACACTACATTTGGGGGAGGGGCAAGGGAGGGGAGTGGGTATGGACATATGAAACACGTCACACACAGATACCACGATTGAGCACAGTACATTTGGGGAGGGGTAAGGGAAGGGGGGAGTTTTTGGTGGGGTTTTTTG